GGCAGGATAAGTGGACAGGCCAGAAAACCTAAATGATTCAACTCGTCAACTACACCTGCAGTATCTGGGTTTGTATTGCGACATTACATCAACAGTATGTCACAAAATGACCTCGCCTTTTCGGAGACCTGCTGCTTCTTGTTCCTTGTCGTGCCCTTCGCGGCGCTTGGCGGTGAGCAATCTAAGTGTGGCAGATGTTGAAAAATCTCTTGCCATCGCTCCGTTGAAGATCCTATGCAGTGCAATGATTCCAATGACAGATTATTTGAGTAGTCCTTCTCTTTCAATTTGTTTGGGGCATTCAGTTCAAAGACGTTTATTTCACATTGCCCGGAGCCCGAAGCTGAGGCCAGCCCTGGTCAATGCTGCTGCAGCTGGCACAGCGTGCGGCCGGCCGCAGCATGGGCCGACCGCCGGCGCGGAAGCCAGTGCTGCTGCTCCTTGCCACAATCTTGGGTGGCTGGATGTCGCTGGGCGCTGGAATGCTTGTTGGGCCAAGCGGGATGGGCTAGTGAAAGCAATTACGAGACCACCGCATGAATCCAGGTGCTTTCTTTTATGATGTGTTCAGCGGCCAAAGGGAAGGGCCCTTTCAGCCTTGACGACTGCCAGGACGGTATGTCCGTTCGCCCACTTGAGGGGCTGACACAAGGTCTACCAGAACCTGGGTATTTGCCGCGTTTCTTCACGCTTGAGTCCCTTTTCCAGGTTTCTGAGCTGAAGCAGCGTTTGGCTGAGAGCAGACTGAATGGCACTTTCCGCTGATTTTCTGACCGCTGGCCGAACACGTTGGCATTATTGTTTGATGATCATTGTTTCTGTCTGCAAAGTAGCGCCGTCCAATATTATAGTGTTGTGATGCCCCTGGAGTGAACGTGTTGACTCGTGCTGGCTGCAATGATGATATGCCCTTCACGCCACGCAGCGGCTATCGCGGTGCAACAGTGATGGCGGAATTGGTTTGCAAGTCACGATGTATACAGTATCCTATCTTACAGGGAGAGATTCTCGGACGCATGGTCTCTGGCAAACATTAAAGGTCAACATGAGAGCCCCTACGTTTGCTTGCGAGCCCCACAAAACTACTAGAGCGAAGTGGCTCCATCCGCTGCGTCACGTTGTGGCTTTGCGGAGCAGGCGTTGCACAGTTCATCCATCCCCGAAGGTTATCTTTGCAACATGACCTGGAGCATTGCATACTGGACACTTAGTCCAAAAGGATCAGAACTGGACATGTGGCTTGGGGTGGAGCAGGGCCAATACATTCCACGAGTGTGCAAGGGAAGCCCAAACTTGTGAATATATTCAGCCATTACAGCCTTTCTTCCCTTTTTTCTTGTGGGTTCATTGAAAATTGAGCCCCAAAACGGGAACACGGGAGCAGCTGAGCCGCGCCCTGCCCGCAGGCTGGGCTCGGTGGGCTCGGGGAAGACGCGGCTGCTGCGGCGCCTTGCCAGTGAGGCGCTGCATGCCCACGAGGGAGAGGCTGGGGCGCGCAGGCCGAAGGTTCTGAGGTTTGTTTTTTTGAAAACCACCAGGAGTGGAAACAATGACAGATAATTATTGTGGAACAGCGACCAAACAATGTAATTATAACACTGACAATTGTAGAAAACCGTTTCAGTGGTCAGAGAGTGGCAGTTGTGGCCAACGCGGGAGCGAGCCAAAGGCCCAGATGGACATGTCGCAAAAGAAAGTCTGGAATCCTTTGCAGTTTCAGGGTTGCGTGTTTTGCTGATTTGCAACGAGACTTGCACGTGCCAAAAAGCGGCGGCTGTTCCGACGAAGGTGCTCATTTTGGTCAGAGTCCAAAACGGCAGTTAGGTCACCTTTGGTCACCCAATATATAGATATCTCCCATAGAGAAAGGTTGATTATTTAGCCCTGGGCATTGGGGCAACAAATGCCCTGATTGGTCAAGGTCAACCTGTGACAACGTATGACCAGTAGAGACTTTCACATGTGACCCTCGCAATCAATGTCATTAGCTGTCCATCGCGCTTCTGCCAGCTGGTACGATGCCAATTCAATTTGACGACCCTATGATCAACGGAAGTTTGAGACAGACTCCACCCCTCAGTGGCACCCTTTTTCCCTTTCTTTGTGGCTGCCCCACCAAAAATGGTCTTCCCCAAAAAGGGTTTCCTTTTTTTTCCAGGATCACTGAACAACTGAGGGTATATTTTGCCATGCCGCCCGTCTCGCTTTGCTTGTTTTGAAGCCACCTCCCCACGAACACCTAGACTTCACTGACAGATGGTGCCGCTTCTTGTCAACGCGTTGCAGCTGCTCATTGGGACGAGCCACTCGGAGCATTCAGCACAAGACCGCCTTGAGGATTTCCTTGCATCCCGCAGGATCTGAATCTAAAGGCTGCTTTCTTCTCAGCTTCGGATAAGACAGTGCGTCACGATCTGAGCACTGCGAGCCTTGGTGTGTTTGTGGCCTTTGGGCTTTCAAGGTGCACGTGCAAAACTTGTTTAACGATCCGCAGGATCTGCGGTGCGCCAAGGCATCAGCACCCGCGTCTCCAATGAGAACTGCCAGCAGAAGTCCTTCATGCGTCCATCTGTCAAGGACTGCCAGAAACCAGTTGAGCGCTTCTCAAATGGTGGACCCCCTTTTAGTTGGCATTGCATATTGGACCTTCTTAAGTGTGAACCGCCCCTCTCCCCCCAATAAACAAACCCGTGCCAGTAGGTTTTTCCAGGACTTCATCTCAGATTCCCGGTACCTTGTTTTGCATCGCCAATTCTAGAATTGGTGCTGCCATTTTATCAAACGAAAAGCTTGACATTAAGGCACCCTTTGACTGGGTGAGCTTTTATCAAAAATGCATCTGGAATTTTGATTCGGGGACTTGCGAAACTAACTAGATCTAAGGCCCTTAGCCTTTGAGGGAGGACTTAGAACCAAACCAAACCTTTGGAAGTACCAGGCTGAGGCTTTGATAGTCGTCAGGGAGCAACCTCACCAATCAGCTTACCCGTGAGATCTTGCAAAGGCATCCCTGAATCCAAGTGGGAATGTAAGCACAAACTGGGTTGAGCCCCAGCTTTCTAGACCTCACTTTGTATCTTGATGTTTGCACGAGCCCCAGCCTCGAACCTAAGAAAGAGATGGGAGAGGTTCCATGCGCCCGCTGATTGGCTGTGACCATGTCGGGAGGACTCTGAGAAGATGGCCTTGCGGCGGCTGGCCAGCTTGGATTTCTTGGCCATCTACATACGTAACGTGGCAATTTGCGCTTGTTGCTTCGTGTTTGATTTGTCTGTTTTTGCTCATGATTCTGCTTCGTCTTCTCTTCTCCTTCTCCTTATCCCTTCTTTCCTTAAGGAAAACAAGAGCTGGCCTTCTTCTTTTCTTTATCCTTCTTCTTTTATTTATCCTTCTTCTTGTGTTCGTCTTTTTCTTCTCCTTGTCCTTATTATTCTTCGTCTTCTTGATTGTTTCCTTGTCCTTACGATTGTTAGTCTGCTTAGCCTTCTTCTTCTACTTCTCGTTCTCATTATTATTCTTCCTCTTCTTCCTCCTCTCCTTCTTCTTTCTTTTCTCTTCCTCTTCTTTCCCCTCCTTTTTGTTAAGGTTGAGGGCACGCATACGGAAGTCTCCACCCTTCCACTTCTTTGAAAGCTGCGGCCAGACGTGGCATGATGAACCGCATGTCATAAGGACGACCCCACCACCACGAACGAGGGTACTTCAGGGACTTCAGGGCGTCCCGAAAACAACGGCACTAACAACAGGAACCAGCATTTGTTTTTTTGCATAACATGCCTAGCACTGATTTGCTGATTTGGTGCAGCCAATGTCGGCTCTGGTGAAATGAACCTGTCATTGGTTGCTCATGCGCGAGGTCCACAACACTGAGGGCCAGGCACCGCGCAGTCTGTTTGAACTCCTATCCACGCAACAGGTAGTCGCTCTGGGCCCACCTCGCTTCCTACCCTTTCCCGAACCCAGACAGAACTCAGCAAGTCACAGAGAGGCACAACTGCCGCGAGTGATGCTGCTGGAAATCAGCATGATGCATTAACACCCTTGCTTCCAGGCTTATGGCTCAAGGAATCCCAAAAAAAGCAAAGTCCCCCACACGGAGATCCCTGTACTGATGGCTTTTGTGATGCTCGAACTTCTGGGGAGCGCGGGGATGGCTTTCGAGGCATGGCGTACGGCTGCTCCGCCACGGGCCGGTTCCTGCGGCAGGCGGCGCACGCGCGGCGCCTGCTGTTGCTGGTGGACGGCCTGGAGCTGTGCCCCAAGGATCTGCAGAAGCCGCTCCTTGGTCGGCTTGGTGGGGGGCGGGGCGGGGCAGCGGATTCCCCAAAGTGGATGGGAAGGTCGGCTTTGTGGGGGGGGTGGGGCAGAGGATTCCTCAAAGTGCATGGGAACCGCGTGATCGGCGGATGATTGGTTGGAGAACAAATTGTTGACTATCGTTTGACTTTGAGACCCAGGCGTCCAGTTGCATGGACGATTGCTGCATTTTGCCTCGGTCCAGGACCTGGGAGTGTTTGTTTGGCAAAGTATTCTTGTAGAATCAGAACGTCGGTCCAGCACTAGCCTAGCTGGTGGCAAGCCACAATTTTAAGGGTTGTTGGGTCTCAATGCGTCAAAGCACCAAGGCCGATATAATCGTTCAAGAAAGCGCGCAGTGGCCAGATGTGGAGGGGAGCTAGACCGGCGCACTAAAGTGCACAATTATAGATTGTTTTGCATTCAAGGACTGGAGAAGTTGCCGCTTGCAGCCTTTTTCAGGCGATGGTACAGCACAGAACAGGCTTTGAGCTGGACAGCTCAAATGCCGTGACACCTAGTTAGTGAAACGCAGCAGGCAAAGTGATCCAACATTTTTTGCACAAACAGCACATGCGTTGGTATGCTGCAAGCTGATGCACACATATACATGCACACACACACACACACACTTGCAGACGCAACGACTTGAACCGCAAGCGCCCTGCACTTTGCCTTGATGGCAGTTCCCCTGGCCCGTTGTCATGCCAGGGGGGCTGCTTCAGTCCTTGCTCACGCAGTTGGACTTACATGGTGACCTGCCTACCATTGACAGCAGAGTTTGTCGTCACAGGCCTCAACTTGCAGACTTCCTGCCAAACTCTACAACTTTGCAACGAGGGTCCCGCAGGCACTTCGTCTCCTTCAAGAAGAAGAAGGAAGACGCCAATGACTGCTACTGCCCTGCACTTGGGCACTGCGTGCCAGGCTTCCAGTGCCCCCTCGGAGAGCACATCGACCGGTCGAAATGCTTCCACACGGTCACCGTGAAATACCCGGCAGACACCGACTATTTGCAGTGCCTGAAAGACAAGGAGGAAGATCCGGAGAAGGAGTGTGAGTTGAAGATCCTGGAGGAGGTGAAGATCAAGACTGGCGGCTGGTTCTTCTTCGGTGGCGAGGGCCATCCTGTTGCCCACAAGGTGAAAGGTTTGGCCAAAGAAGCCGGAGTAAAGGAAGGCGGGAGCCGAGAATCCTGTGGCTTGAGCCCCTCCCAGTCTCAAAGCTGTCTAGCCAACCACTGGTTGCACACCCACGAAGCAGCAAGGATGAAAGGGGCATGTTCCCTTTAGCGCCAAGTCGTTTGTGGAGTTGCACCCTTCCGGTCTAAAAGCAGGCTACGAACTGATCGCGATTGACGGCAACCAAGCGGATTGGCGGGAGCCAGGCTTTAAGGCCTACATCAAGAACCTAAAGTGGGATCCGCCTGCCGGCGGGACGCTTTGCTTGACTAATCCAACATGCCAGCCTGTTGAGCTGGTCAAACTCAGAATTGTGGATTGCTTTCTCTCAAGCTTCCCTCTTCTTATGTCGCAGTTGGCACAACCTTGGTGTTTTTTCAGCTGTGCAGGTGGTTTTTTCTGCATGTTTCGGCGCACTCAGCACTCGGCTTTGGGAGTGAGGCCTGTGGAGTTGACGCCCGGCGATGGGTGCAAGCATCCACCTCCGCCGCCGCCGCCGAAGCCGCCGCCCGGGCTGCCGGGGCGGTTTCCCTTCTCCTTCCAGGAAGTGTCGCAAGGGGCTTCTGAGGGAGGAGAAGCTGAGGCAGGCGAACGCTGCACCTCAGCCAAGGTTCTGTTGTTCTCGGGGAGAAGCTGCAAGTTGCAAGTTGAGTTCGTAACATGCATTTCAGACATTCTTGGCATAAGTGTGAAGAGCAAGGGCCGGGAAGTCGCCAACTTGGCAAATCTTTAAGCTAATATAAGCTTGATCTGGGCTTAACCCATCAGGAGGCTGAGGAGAAGAAGATTGAGCCCTGCTACCCCAACGGCCACAGCCTCACCTTCAAAGTCTCTGCGCCGGTGTGGATGTTTTGGATCGGCCCAAAGACCACCTGCCAGGCTTTCCGGGAGACCTGCTGCTCCGAGGCCGGGGCAGCTTGGGAGACCATGTTTTGGGTTGGTTTTAGCTGGACACGGCAGGGACGACCGAAGCCCATTTTTGGGGGGTCCGCTATTTTGAGAGAAAAGCAAGCAGGAAGAGTTGGTAAGTCAAATGTGATCAAGTGTGGGATAGATATGGCCATGGGTCAAAATCCCGTACCCCCGTGAACATCCCAATCCCCACTAAAATAGACTAAAATTGGTGGTAAACCTACCCCAAAATGGTACCATTGGTTTTGACCCACAGCCATATGCTCAAAACTGTGTGTGGCCGCACCCGAGGGCTCCACCCGGGAAGGGCCAGAAGACATGTTCGCAGAGGCCTGCGCGACCAAGCAGATGTGCAAGCCCCAGGAGAGCTGCGATCAAATGCCTGGCCGGCCAGGGGTCTGCAAATACCAGGTGCTGGAGTTGAAAGGGGACTACGACGACCAGCAGGAGAACGAGGACAAGGAGGATGAGGCCGCCAAGGATGTAGAGAACGAGGAGCAACAGCAGGAACGCAAGGAAGAAGAGCAGGAAGCAGAAGATGAGGGTGAGGAGGAACCCATCGACTGGGGCGGTGGAGAAGACAACCAGGAAGAACACCACGAAGACGAGGGAGGAGGAGGCAAAGGAGGTGGTAAAGGCAGGTAGACTGCATGTTTGAGACATGCAACCTCAAGAAGTGTGCGCATCATGCAGAATCAAAAAATCATTTGCTGGAATGTCGGGGTCCCGCTCCAAGGCGGGAAGGCGGGAAGAGAAGGCAGCCTAACTCACCCTCAGAAAGTGTGGGATATGAGGTTTAGATTAGCCAGCTGGCCTTTCATTTGAAGCGGGAAGGGGTTCTGTGTAAATCTGCAGTGGGGCATGTCACCTCCTTCCGCGAGTTATTTTTCATTGGGAAGACCATTTTGGTGGCAAACCACAAGTTCAAACTTTTTGCCGGCCGATCCAATCAGCAATCGAATCAAGAGCGAAACTCAGCGCCTGTCAGCTGAGGCTGCTGGAGGGTCTCGCACGGCTCAGTGCTGTGGGCCATCGGGTGGTGGTCGCTGCCAGCATGCCGGCAAAAGGGAGTGGGTTGGACGTAAGGTGTTCCTTCAGAAAGAAGCAGAAAAGAGGGCATTGTTGGATCAGGCTGGATTATTTTTCAATTCTTGACGAGATTCCTCCCCAGTTTTTTTGCTTGCCCAGCTTCAAGCAATGCGTGTCCGGCTGAGACCCCATGGCCAAATCATAGCGTGTTGTTTATGTTGCGTTTCTCTTGGGTGGTGGCGCATCACATGTTTTGGCCACTTTTGTGCGGTGAGGTTTCGGACGCAGAAGGGACCCGGAATCAAGCATCCATCCTGAGGTCCACCAGCACACTTGTTTGGGCATCTTCGACCAGCTGCTTGGGCGCCACCAGTGCGTGTTCGCTCAAGAGCCCCCCCAATTGCATGTCCAGAATCCAGATCCAAGCCATGTTGGGGTCCGGGACCGGTATCAGGCGTCCTGCTCCATGCCCCGAACCTGTTTGCAACCGAGCTTTTCCAGGGGCTGCATGCTTGCAAAATCAACAGATCTGGTGCACCAGGGGTTGGGTTGGATATTTTCTTTCTGATTTGCCAAGCACTGCAGGCCTGGCTCACCAATTTGCAACCCGGTTTTTGGGGGCGCAGTCCCCAGATACCATTGAGGTTGAGAAGGTCGAGGCTGAGGAAGAAGTCAACGATGCAGATGGAGAGGCTGTGATTGTGCCGGGCGCTGAGGCGTTGCCGCTGTTGGATGCCACAGAAGAAATCCCATGGCTAGTGGATGGGGAATGGGCCGGGAGAACACGGCTTGCTGTCGTGGTATTCCTTGACCCCAGTCTTGGCACATCCTCGTGACAAACCCATCTCAAGGAGTCATGTGATTCGTAATTAGTTCAAGAAGAGAGCCCTGGTTTGATACTTGCACCGCAAAAAGTCGCGAGAACCAGGGGTCTTTCAGCATCCACGGCGCACAACATTCTCATGAGGACGCAGGGCTCACCTGTGCGACTTCTAAATCAATGCAGAAATTTTCAGACCCAATGACTGCACTCACCTCTCAGAGAACGGAGCAATGTAGCGCATATCCAATGGCATTTGTTGGCGGAATGACTCTACTTGGAAAGGCTGAAGGAGAGATTCGGTGTGTCTGACGACAACTACTATTTTAACAATGATTGTCAGAGCCCCTGTTTGTCGCACAAAGTTCGAAGCATTAGCGCGAAGATGGGAACTGATTGACTTGCCTTTGAGCCTCTGGCATGAGGATTGGCGGCAGGAGCTCTTCCGGCAAGATCCCTGCAGGCAACAAGAACCCTGCCGAAAACTTGCCCAAAGAGGACCTGGGTGAAAAGACACTCCCCTGGCAAGCAGCTGGTTTGAAGAGCCTCGGGCAATGCCAGCAACACAACGGAGACTTACGAGCTGATCATAAGGAGGGTGCACAGGTGAGGGTAAGCTGAACTTTGGAGGATAGGAAAAGCATCATTATAGAGGGGCGGGGCAGGTCAGTCTCTGAACCCTGCAAAGAGGCCATACGTACAACCTGCAACGTCAGGCTCCATTTTGCTCGGCGCAAAGTGAAGCGCTAGTCAAGAGTATGATGTTTGGCGTCATTAGATGATTCCCGTCCCAACTACTTGCTTCGTGATATTTGCCAGAATATCTATACTTAGATAATTACGATGCGTAAACCTCACTAATATGGATTCCTCCATGATGCCATGCATCCTGTTGCTATAGAGCAGGTGCACGTGTCCCAAAACAACCCTTCTTGTTTCGTTCCTGTTTGCCCACGAATCGTATGGTTTCCTTAATTCAGATTGCGCAGGAGTAGGGTGGAACCCCCAAATCCTGCCTTCGAAGACAGTGTCAGCTCTTCTAGCCTCCCGCTGAAAATCCAAATTGCGGGGATTTCTTTGGGAGGCATGACAAACAATACGTTTCAATACGTCATTGAATTTCCGAAATGCAACAGTACGTGTTCTCCAATGCCGATTGTTGGGAGTTCGTTGGAATGTCAACTTTTCGATTGGAGTGTGCAAGTGTGTGCCCCAGAAGGATCCGGAGCCCTACTGGTGCTCCGCCTTCAACCAGGCACGGGGATATGAAACAAGCGTGGAATCAGAGCGAGCTATTTTTTGTTCAGAATTTTGAAACTTGGAACGGTCCACCTGGTTCTTGTGGAGGTGCCTCACTTTGCGTGCCTGCACCTTCTTGAAAACCGCACGTTTGAGCTGCTGGAGGGGCACTGCAACTGTTCAGAACGCCGAACGCCCTGGCCAGGAACTTGGCCATGGTGCTTTTCATGGGAGCCCGGGACGTGGTTTGTGCAAACTTGAACATGAAGGGGTCATGACCATTCATGAATATCCCCACAAAGAGTAAGCCCGTAGCTCTTTTGAACATGGCACACCCAGCAAACTGTTTTGGCGCTGTTTTCTGGTAAGATCCTACCGTTGGCTGGACAAACATCCATGTCAAATATGCGGCTTATTTTGTAAACGTTTTGCTGCATAGGGCGAAGGGCTTGCTCAAGACAGCCGTGCATAGTGACCTGGATTTCATGAGTTTGGAGTCCACAGCTTACGCGCGGTTTGACAGGTGCGCCAGATCTGGCTATGCCCTTTGACCCCGTCACAGCTGCGGATCCGCGCGCAGATGCGGCTGGGGCACTTGGGGGATGCGCCTGAGCGAGTCCTGGAGCAGCTCAAGGCCGGGTTTGCGCGGTCCGAGTTCAGGGGGTTGATTCGAATTTGGCTTCGGGCCGGCAAGTGGGTCATGAACTCGTGGATTTTCTGTGTTTCTTGCCCTGGAAAGAAGCCAAGCTTGCAATGCATCGCTTCCTTTGGCATGCCTCATATCTGCCTGGAGCTCGCATGTGCGGCTGGCTTTGCCCCTCAGGAAGCCCGGCTTTTGCAAGTGCTCGCCCGCAGCGCGCCATTCTTCGAGCTGGCGCTGTCTCATATGGCAGCCCGGCGGGCAGAAGTGTCCGTATCGGCTGGAAAGGAAGGATTGTAACTGGGGCTAGGGGAGCATCAGAAATTTAAGGCGGCAATTTTCATGAGGGGACAGCAGCAGCGTCGGCGAATAGAAAGCTGGAGTCTCTACGACTTGGCTTGTTGAGATACAAGCAAGGATATCCCAACTGGTGTGCCTTATCCGAACCCAAATTCTGCTTCAGCGAATCCAGAAGGGCAATGCGCGCAGCTTCAGAAGCAATCAATGGTTTTGATCAATGAATATCCGAATGGTTGATCGTCCCAACTGCACCTCACAGTACTGTGTCCGTTATTGCATTCCTTAGTTTAGCATGTTTAGCGATTTTATGTTGAGTGACGCTTTTGTGAAGGTTGTGCTGCTTTGCGCAATGGAGGCGCTGCTGGGCCCAGCAACTCTTGCAACCTGAGTGATCACTTTGTTCGAGTGACGTTTTCTTTTGAAGAGCGTCTTAGGAAAGGCTGCTGGCGAAGGATGCACCATCACGGCCGTCTCGCTCGCAGCGGTCGACGCCTAGTGACGGTGCTTTGCTGCAAGTTTAGGCGATCTCGAGGGGCAGAGTTGTTTGCGTCGTTCTTGGGCCTTCATGGGAAAGAGGTTCGTGGAAACCAGGTACTTCAAAATGGCATCAGTCCAGGCATTGCTTTGTTCAGGCTGCCTTCATCAGAAGGCTGTGCCGAAGATGCCATTTACAGGCCGGCGATGTTGCCTGGTGGTTTCGGTCTTCTTACAGTACCCCTTCGCCTTTTTGACCCGAGAAACAAGAGGTGCATGCTACAGTTGAATGTTGCCAGGCCCAAAGTTGCGCCCTGTTTCAGGGATATAGCATACACATGGCGGGCAAAATTACTTTCCCAAATGCCCCTTTTGGGCCGCGTGTCCTTTTCTGCACCGTCAATGAACATGGATGGCCGATGCGATTCGGCTCGATTTGATTTTTCGATTCGACTAGGGCCGAAGCGATTCGACCGATCCGATTCGACCAGCTTGCAAGGCTCCGGGGGCACAAATGATGGAAGTCTCCAGAAACAGCGTGCTCCCAGATGCGTTTTCCCGGCTCCGAAAAATGTATCTAGACGAGCGGTGGAGTCTCAAGGCAGCTCCTAGAAGGAGCATGCTCCCAGATGCGTTTTCCCGGCTCCGAAAAATGCATTTGGACAATCCGTGGGTTCTCGAGGCAGCTCCTAGAAGGAGCATGCTCCCAGATGCGTTT